TGTCTAACTTTGAGCAAAACTTTATGTTATTGAGTATATTTAGAAAATTGTGTTTTTCTAAAATGCTTAGACAAAAGATTTTCTTATATTTAGTGAGTGACTTTCAGGGATTAATCAGATTTCAGCTGGGGCCAGTGTCCCCCCTGGCCTTGCCCCTGGATCCGCCTCTGGTGCTGAGTACTTTTAATCATGTACTTAGCAATTTTGATGTACTGTGAATTACTGGATACTTTAAAAGTCAAGTTCATACAAACAAAACTTTGAGTCAGCTTTTTAAAGTAGGATGCATTTACAGCTTTAGCTTATTATGTTTTTGCAAAACAACAAAATACTTTTAAAACTTCTTTATTTTTGATTCCATTAGAAAACGTGTAATTAGTTTTCTTTTTCTTAATTCAAATTCTTGGTTGTTTCATGTTTTCTTGGTTAGATTGTAAGATGTTAATCTTCATGTACATTTCTGAAAGTAGTGATTTACGTTCTTTGCTGAATTTTTCATCAATTTAGCAAAAGATTAGTTGATAAAGTTTTTATTTTATCAGCATATTCAAATTAATAGATAAGATAAGAATCTTTTATTTTGTAAAACTAAAAGTACAATTTGCTGTTACACCTTTTTAATTCTCCTAGAGAAAACGTGAATGTGTACTTTTTTATAGCTTGTTGTACTTTCTCTTCAGTATCAATACTTCTTCCAGCCCAGCTTCTCTTCAGTTCAGGCTTTGGCGATAAACTTTAAACCAAACTATTTTGCCGACTTGACCCAAAGTGACAGGTTCAGTTTGACATCATGACATAAAAAGAGAGACGTCGTTGTTACTGCAGACACAGGAAGTCACGACCGCTCTGTAATTCTTTCTTCACAACCCTAAACAACCTTTCGCCACCTGCTGTCTGTCTGCGTCAAAAACAACGAGGGACGAGAGTGAGTACCACAAGTTCATGTCTTTTTAATGCGATGCCGTTCACATTCAGCCTCTCTCTCCTCAAATCACTCCATTACAATGGATTAAACCATTAAAACGGGGATTGTGAAGTATTTTGGGATTTTTTATTTTGTAAGACACTTTAAAGTCATTCCTGAAAGAGGAAACAAATGATTTTGGTTCATAGCACATTCATGCCTGGCGAGAAAAAAAAGATTAAGACTACATCAACAACAAAAAAAACATGGAAGCAAACAATATAAACAATAATCTTATTATATATAAAACATAGCAGGCATAATAAATATTACACATAAACAAGAACTAAAAGTAAACAGTTGAACCTATTTGGTTTGGGCAAAGTTTGGAACAAGGTTATAAATCACTGATCTGAAAAACTCAGTGTGAATGTTAAGATTTTTATTTATTTGTTTTTAAACTCCTGGAAAAAGCCGTTCAACTAAAACCAGCTCTGCAGATTCACTCGTTACGAAATATCCAACGCAAACCTTTTTTCAATCTCCTATCAATGTTACTATTGTAAAGGAACACAGGAAATTAAATGTCGCAGAGAAAAGGTGCTCAAACACAGGCATTACTCAAGTGATTCAAGTGTAGACTTCTTTTTTTTATTTTTAAATGTTCGTCCTATGACCAAGCTCCCGTGTGCACTTAACGTGTGAGTGAGTGTGTGTGAGTGAGTGTGTGTCACACACGTTTAGGCCTCAAGGGTGAGTGAACACTCGAGCCATATTCAGTCATTGCTTTTTAAGGAACAATCCACTCAATTCTCTCATTAGTTCAACATACCAAAGGGCATTAGTTCAACCAAAAGATTAACAGTTAAATTAAAAAAGGTCAGTCTCCGTGGCGATGTCGCTGCGTTGTGATTGGCCGCGTTGGACCGCTTGGGTGTGTTTGTTGTCGGGAATCTGGGAGCCACCCGGGGCTTCCATCTTTGGGTGCGTTAGCGTCTTTGCAGGAGACGGGGGAATCGGTTTTGGTTCAGTCAGGAAATCAAGGACCATGTGTCATTCGAACGCACACATTCGCTCACACACACATACACACACACACACACACACACACACAGACAGACACAAACAGCAAACAATAAATTCTAATCCACTGCGTGACTGTAAATGTAGTTTCACTCCTTAGTGATGCTTCTACTAAACATAGATAACTGTGCAATTTTCTTTTTTTTTTTCTTTCAAACCAGGAGTAGTACAAATATCAGGAGGACGTCCTCGTAGGTGCTGTGGTTGTTTTGTTTTTTTTCTTTGTTGCCATGTGTGGAGAGTATTTCATTCTCCCTCTCTTTGACAAGAGAAGCTGCAGGTTTCTTCTGTTATCGAGCGGAGGGATAAAGTTCGAACACTTCCCGCCTCGTGGCAGCACGTCCAAAACCACACGCTTCTCCAACCCCTCCCCCTCCTCCAGTCCACCTCAAGGTCCCAGCCCCCGTAATGCTACTTCCGTTGCAAAGTGCAAGCAGTTAATTGTCTCTCTGCCTCTCCTCTCCGTTCAAGAAATTCGGGAACCAATGCAACAGCAAAGGGGGGGAAAAAAAGGAAGGTTTGTTATTGTTCAAATGTAAAAAATGGTTGAGTCAGTGTCCGGAGGAAAAAAAAAAAAAAAAGCAACAGGAAGGGAGAGGGCAGCAAGAGAGAGTGCATTTGTGTCTCAAGAAATTCAGTCCATCCACGCACGACGAGCGCTGTTCCTTGTAGCGTCCGCATGTCACTGATCAGCTGTTTGGAAGAGTGGTTATACCTCCCTGCAGAAACAAACAGAGAGACAACGTTAATACTTCATATTAAACTACAGCAACAAGTGTTGAGTGAAACAAATGAGACATGAAGTGTAAAGTATTGAGCTTTTGAGGCGCTGGTAGATGGAACAACTCAGGCTAACAATGTCCCCCCTGCTTCTAGTCTTTGTGCTAAGCTAGGCTAACCTCTTTTCAACTTTTTAGATGCTTTCACACATTCTCTGGAGTTTCTCCTGACAGCCGCCTCGTAAAAACTCCAGAGAATGTCTGAGTGTGTCTGGAGTAGTCGCTTAGGTGAAACAAAAACAAGTAGAAAAAATACTGAATGCAGAAAAAAAAAAAGGAGTCGTAAACGCAGAAGACGCAGACGAATGTGTGAACTCCGGAAGACAAGACTCGAGAGCTTTAGGTGCTGAGAGTTGATGTAAATAAAAAACCCATGATCTCTAGAGCAGAATTTATATATAACATTCCGCCTCTGTGCAGACATTTGTCCAGACATTTATCCCAAAAAAGTTTCATATTGATCTTCTAATCTAACTTTGAGTGTAATGTGTATTTCAGACGTCACTTACGATGCAGTGAGTGTGGAGTTGAGGACGAGAGTGGTGCGTATCCTGTACAGCTGAGCGAGTGTCAGCTTCTTGTGCTGCTGGGCTGGAGATTTCCTCTTTTTGGGCGACGTTTCCCCTGAATCACCGTCTGACTCCTTTTTCCTTTCTACGCAGGCAGAAGGAGCCGTTTCGCCGTCAGAGCTTTGGGACTCGCTGCCCTCACATTGTCCAGCGGGCGCCCTGTGGCCATGTCTGGCCTCCGCCCTCCTCAGGCTGGCGCACACTTTGTCAGACGGCACGGGGCTCGAGTCCTCGGACTGGTCGAGGTCACCGGAAAGCAGCTCCGGGCAGTTTTGGCCCAGCTCTGACAGGCTCTTGCTGTGTGCCAAGGACGGCGTCTCCATGTCCCCACACTGTGACCGGTCCTGCTCCTCGGTGCTGAGAAAGTGTTTGTGGGACATGGGGGGTTTACCGTAGAGGCGCTGCAGGAGATTGTCCTCGGAGCGGGATAAGGCCAGAGTGGACAGCCTCTGGAGGCAATGCAGTCGCGTCTGGACATGAGGCCGCCGGCGAGGTTTGGAGGACTGGATGACTGACAGCTGGGATCCCAGTGAGGCAGCATCCTCCTCCTCCTCCTCCTCCTCCTCCTCTTCTTCCTCCTCTTCTTCCTCCTCTTGCTGCTGCTGCTGCTGCTCCTCTTCTAGCTCATCCATGTCTCCTCCTTGCTGCTCCACATCCTGTCCTTCCCCATCTCCCTCCTCCTCCTCGGTCTCCTCTCCTTCACTTTGGCAGGGCTGTGGCTGAAGTTCTCTCAGGAGGGACTCGGGGGAGAGGGTGCCGTAGGCGCTGTCCATGGAGAGAGAGCGACACTGGGGGTCCAGCTCCTCGCCGTCAGCCCTCGCCTCCTGGTCGTGCTCAGAGTAAATACTGGAGTGGACTCTGTGGGAGCTCGTGGACTGAGACCGCTGGACCCCAGAGCTTTCAGACTGAGCGGCCACATCGGAGTCCGAGTCTGTCTTAGCGGCCTCGAGGTTCATGTTGGGAGCAGGAGACTCTTGGTTTTCACCTGGTTCATCAATTTCCATCACCGACAGGGTCTCAGTGGAGCCGTCTGATTGGCTGAAAGGAGAAGTGAGCTTGGTTAACTAGAGCCACATTCATAGACATTTTAAAGAAATAGTTCATAATGGTTTTTTTTAAGAGTTAGATACAACAATCAGAATCAGCTCTAAAAACAAAAAGTATAAATAAAAACAATCAGATCTAAACTTTATCAAGAAAGTTAAGTATGAATGGAGGCTCAGGAGCAAGATTAGCAAGTCACAGGTAATTTATATTCAATGTATCGCACCAAATTAAACTAAACAACACTGATGCCAGGTGTAAAGTCGATAAGACGAACGCTCCTCGAGACAAGTGAGCCGCTAACAGAGTTAGAATTATTGGACGGTGTACCTGGAGTTCTGCTGGTCTTTGTGCCTCAAGCACGGGGAGCTTGCGGTGGAGGTGCTGCTGTCGTCTTCCTCCTCTTCTTCACCCGAACACGTCTTCGGACTCTTCTGCTGTCGGAGGACCTCCTCATTGCGAAGCCTCTGGAGCTGGTTCTGCAGAATAACAAGAACACATTTTATTGTAAATACAAAAATAATTTACAAGTTTGGAATAATTTTTCTCTAGTTGCATGTGTTAAAGATCTGACTTAAACGGACTCTCTGACCTGGACGTTGCAGATCGCATCGATCCAGCTTCGCCCCTGGGTGGCGCTGTTAGCTTGGAAAGTGTAGGCCGCCACTGCACTCTTGAACTCATTGAGGTAGATGAGGATAAACGAGCCTGAAGAGACAAAAAGCACAGACGTCAGTGATGACACAGCACGTGTTCACTAAACTGAGTTACACATTAGTTAAGCTCATGTGAGTCAGGCAGGTCAACTCATTTCCTGCTTTTCTGTTTCTCGTTACAATTAAAATTCAAACATTTGAACCTTGACACTTGTAAAACTATTAAATTTTGATTCATCTGAAAAAGTCTCGATAAATCAGCGATGACGGTTTTCATTAGCTGTGTCCCGGCTCCTGATTTAAACTCACCGGGGTCTTTGAGCTCCTTGCAGACGACGTTGTGCATGAGCAGAGGCTGGCGGATGATTTTGACTTTCTCCACCCTCTTTACTGGCTTGGTAATTAGCAGCAGGTCAGTGAACAGGAAACAGTAGACGTCCATCTGTATGGGAAATAGACTCATTTCAGCAGTGACAGTAACACACGTTGTTCTTTATGGCTCCGATATATTTTATGGGAAACCCGAGGGACCAGGTGAAAGATGAGAGCGGTCACGTGAATCCATCTTACCCGACTGTCTTTGCCCTCTTTCATCCTCAGAGCTCCCTCGAGGTGCAGCTGTCGGGTCTCCTCCGGGGAGATTCCCCTCATGCGAGCCATGAGGTCGAAGTGGTTGTACTCCTTGAGGATCTGAAACGGGAAAAGACAAAAGCATGAGGCCGAAGCTCACGTGAAGTTTCTCACGTCTGACCAGGGACGCTGGGGATCGGTCAGAGTTGTGGGTGTAGTATTAATTTGAACTGCGATGCTTGATAAAGCAGCGTAGCACCAGATGTGTTTCTGATTTCGCTGCCCCTCTTCACCCCTGCTTCCTTGCATCTGACTAACTTCTAGAAGAATTGTCCCAGGATTCCTTTCTCACCTTCTCCACCTCCTCACTGCTGCCCTCTACAGCCTCGTAGGAGTCGATGCGGGCAGAGGTGGTGGTGAGCTTCTGTCGCTCCTGGCGCTGCCGCATCTGCGAGTCCACGCTGTTGATGAAGCCCTCGACCGTGGCCACCTTGAGGAAGAGAAACACAACAACACACGAACCATAAACAACACAGGCGACCGACGACGTCCGAGAAGAATCAAATTTCACTCTTCTCACCATTTTGTTGACGATGTCTCGGGCCGACGGCTCGTCCGTCTTCTTGAGAACGCTCTTCAGCAGGAGGGGATATTTGGTGAGTCTCTGGTGAGGCTTTGCCAACATGTCGGTCAGCTTCAGACGGTTGCACTGCTTGTGCGTCTCTGCCCACTGAGTTGAGCCAAACAAAGACAGGAAATCAAACGGTTAATGAAGGAAACCAACAGGGAGGGTAAGAGCACAGGGTGTACTCGCAGGTTAATGGCGTCACGGTGAAAGAGAGCGAGGAGAACTGACCGTGACATAGGTCCTGAAGAGCTCGTTGTCCCTGAGAAGTGTGCGCATGTACTCCATACAGCCCTCCTCCTCCATGCAGTACCGGATGTACGGCCGGAACCTGGAGCCGAACTAAACCCAAACACAGACATATTACTGGACGAGTCATTAAGAGCATGTATCTCAGAATTATTTTCAAATCACACCGCTTGTCAAAGTTCAGCGGAATGTTTCTGATAAGAAAAATAAAGTTTGCACTTAATCTACGATCAGTTGATAAGAAGATCATAAAAAAAAAAAAAAGATTAGCTTTTAATCTGCTCATTTCTTTCTAACCTTTTTGTAATAATAATAATAATAATTTTAAATTATATATCGCACTCCTCAAAACATAGTTACAAAGTGCTACACAAATGAAGAACTAAGTAAAAATCACATAAACTCGTAAAATAATTAAAATGTGTGACAGAATAAATTTCATGGCGTCCCTATACAATAATAAAAACTACAACTAGGTCAAATTGGGGACTTTGGTTTGATAAAAGCACAATTTAAGCTTTGATTTTTTTTATTCATTTGTACCATTCATTTTGTCTCGTGTGATCTCATGTATATAAAAACTTACATTGAATTAAGTTTATTTACAGAATGGACATCTTTCCGACTTGACATTTTGTGGTGGCTACGCAATGTTTTTTATTCGAGAATAAACTTTTTCTTCACCACATTTCCGTGTTTATATCGGTGTTTATGGCGCAATATCAACTGACCGTCCTGAAGCCGTGCTGGAGGTCGGTGGGGTCGAGCAAAGCCCGCGCCTGCCGGGCCTTCTCCAGGACCGGCAGCATGACCTGGTTCCACAGGGACGTGTGGAGGAAGACGATCTCCTGGATGTTGCTGAACATCTTGGCGGGCTCCACCTCCGTCAGCAGGCCGCTCTCCTGCAGGTTCAGCAGCCCACACAGGAACAGCTGCGGAGGGAAGAATGCGAACACGTGTTTGAGCGGGACGCTGAGCTGATACGGAGCCTTTACCGGTCTGCAGCCTCGAGGTCAACTTCCTCAGCAAACAGTTTACTGAGCTGCAATAAAGATTTGAAGTTCTGCTTTCTCCACAACAGGCTCATTGTGTGTCCGTCTCAGTTCTGAAGTCACTTATACAACAGTGTGTGTGTGTGTGTGTGTGTGTGTGTGTGTGTTTCTTCACACTTACATCAGTGATGACTCTGAGTTTCTTTATGTAGGTAGCCTCCGTGTGCAGCAGCTCCCATATCGCCTCCTGCTGGTGGAACTGTCGCCTTGTCAACGTCTGCACACAAACGCACAAATATTTTATTAATACAAAACAGTACAGTACTTTTCAAGGTACTTTCATTATTCAGGAAAACTTAGAATCCACCGTCACTGAAACACAACTTCTTTTTTTTAGAAAAACATTTTCCACAACTGCACAGTTTGCATTTATATTTTTTGAAGTTTATACATTTGTATTAATGATGCTTAAATTTCCTTCAGGATCAATAAGTATAAGTTATTTTTGTACAAAAACACTTTGTAACATTGAAAAAAGTATTATTATTATTATTATCCAGCCTTATTATACACAGTTGTACTCACATCAACACAGATGCACAAAAAAATTCAATAACTTTCTGGCAGCGCTCTGATATATTCCAGTCATTCGCATCATCATCTGATTACAACAACGCCGGGAAATTGCGAGCGCTGGCGTCCGTGCACGTGTTATGTAACTAACCCCCAGGTGTGAAGTGAGTGTGCGAGGTGCTGGCGAAGCAGCTGCATCGCTCCGTCTCACTGTCCTGATCTACACACATTAACATTAACAAGGGGACAACGTGTGGACTGAAGGCTGTTACCATGTATGAGTCATGACAGGAGCACGTTCATAAAATGATTTGTTAGCACAGTTCTGGGAAAAAACTGGTATCTGGGGAAAGTGCAGCCAAAATAAATGATAAGGAAGCAAAGAACTTAAACTTTGTGCTTCTTCACGTTTTTTTGATTTGACTTTATATGTGATCTCATCCTGCAAAAACATTTGACCTCCCTCCGGAGAATTGTATGAAACTGTGTGAAATAATTTACATCAAGACTTAATTCATAATTTGCATTGTTTATTTTCTGACTTCTTCTATTTCAATAATTTGTTTTTATTTCACGGTCTGGATATAATCAGTGTAAAATGATCACGCGTGTGTTAGTGTGTTGGCCGTGTACCTCGGAGTCGTCCAGCAGCGACTGCCAGCTGTCCTCCAGGACCAGGTTGGTCTCCTCCTCCCACGAGTCCTGGTGGAAGGAGAGCTGCCGCGGCACCTTGGGCAGGCCGAACTGCATGTAGGAGTGGAGCTTGCTCTGGAGCTGCTCCAGACGATCCACCTCCTGTGAGATAAGGGATAAGACGATTACACACAGGAGCCTAATTGGTCCGAACAAGGTTAACAGCATGACGGCGAGAGGAGACACGAGAGCAAAGTGTCCATTTGTGTCTTCTCTGTGTATTGTTATGTTCAGACTGTAAGTAAAGACGTGGATTAGCATATGAACCGCGCCGTTACTGGCGCCTTAAACCCCCCGACACCCAGCAGCGGCTGCTATTCAGGTCTTTGTTCCGGCCGGCAGCTCGTATGTAGTTATGAAAATGAGCTCTGTGTATTGAGAGTGTTTTAACAATAGGAGAGTGAGGGGGGGGGGG